GCAGAGTTGCTTTTGTTAAACTAGTTACAACCTAGTTGGTAGAATATCACATCAATTCATTTAGTGCATTGTGTGTAACTATCATGATTAAAAAAAGGAATATACCAAAATGTATCCAACAAATGTATCAAAATAGCAATAGCATACATCAGGCTTGTGTATATATGTATGAAATGTGATAGAATGTAGCTCTCAATGTAGATAATGATGGGGAAGTTTGGGAAATATGAGTCTCACCGCAGGAGCTATGACACAGCTGTTTAAAGGACAGTGATTAAAATCAGAGTCTTGTCCTCGGGAAGGAAGTTGGGTAATGGCTGGATGGTAGACAACCAATGAGGCGAGTTCCAACAAATGGACAGGTTGGTTGATTCTGTTGTCTTTACCTCCCGACTCCATGAGTGAAGATAAACACTGTACACAGGCTGCTGTCTGAGTTTGAAAAAGCCCCCACCATTTCAAACTCAGGGAGGTCCAGTTATCATCAAACCCTGTCTAAGTCTGTTCTGACTCACGAGGACCCCATAGGTTTCAGTGTGGATCTCCACCCGGCAGGGTTTTCTTTCTTTTTCCTTACTTTTATTGGGGGCTCTTACAACTCTTAGCACAATCCATGCCTTCATCCAGTTTGTGAAGCACATTTGCACATCTGTCACCATCATCGTGTTCAAAGCATTTCTTCCCACTTGAGCCCCTGATATCAGCTCCCCATTTCTTCCCCCTCCCTCCCCCAACCACCCTCCCTCATGAAGTCTTGATAAGTTATAGATAAAAATCTGGAATGCTTCATAAATTTGCATGTCATCCTTGCGCAGGGACCATGCTAATCTTCTCTGCATTGTTCCAATGTTAGTATATGTGCTGCAGAAGCGAGCACTCGGCAGGGTTTTCAATGGCTGCAATATTTCAGAAGTAGAGCACCAGGTTCTTCGGGTGGATTCAAACTGCCAACCTTTCGGTTAATAGCCAACACTTAGCCATTAGCACTACCTATGGATTTCCCTCATAAAAGCTATCCTTTAAACAACAACAACAAACCATCCTTTATTTCCTCTTGTACCAAAGACTACTGGATGACCTCTCAATTTCTGTTCTCCTTCCCTGGCATAATAATTGAAATTGTATCTGGGAACATTGACACCAGCTAGGGATGGCCACGTGACTAAGATGGCCAGTGCAATGTGCCTACAAATGTTGTCTGCAAATGCAAGGTCATGTCCTTAAAGTGTGGGTTATAGGCCCTGATTTGCCTCTTTATTCTGTTGTCTGGAACAAGGACTACTTGGACGACAGCAACATTTTAGGGGTGGTGGAGCAACAAATCGGGATTGTCCAAGTTATTATATAAACAGGAAATTAAACTTTTCTTGTCTCTGCCATTGTTATTTCGGCGTCCCACTCACAGCTATTTAAAATGTTGCAGTTGACAGGTGCCTTCAAGAGTGACCCCCTGCACCGCAGAATGAAACACCATGCTGAGCCGTCCTCGCACCTGCTCTTAGTGTTGAGCCATGTGTCCTTCCCTCCTGTGGAGGGCCTTCCCCTGTCTCGCTGCCCCTCTACTGTATCCGGCATCATGTCCTTCTCCAGGGAGTGGTCTCTGCTGACATGTGCAAGGTACGTGAGATGAAGTTGTGCCATCCTGGCCTCTCAGGAGCATTGTGGCTGTGCTTCTTGTGAGACAGGTCCATTTGTTCTCTTGGCCATCCCTGCTACTTTCAATACCTTTTGCCAGCACCAGCAGTCATACCTATCGATTCTTCCTCAGTCTTCCTTAAACTCGATCCTGCCTAGTACTATATGATCAATGGGAAGATGGTAGACGTTTACAGGTTTACAGGTACATAGACATTTGGCACCTCAGATCATATGGTGTGTGGACTTTAGCCAACCTACCAATGTCTGGACTCCAGAGTCCGGCATGCTGAGGGTCAGACAGAGGGTCAGCGCTAAACCATTCTTGTCAGTGTCATGGGCTGCTTCTATTTGATATTAAACCATTTGGAATTGTGATTTTAAAAGTAAGAAATGGCCAACTATTAGTAATTTCATATGCTTTCACCTAACAGAATGGGCGCTTTATCTCCCCGATGGTGGAGTGAGTCCTTGAATCCACACAAGCTAAGATCTGTGATGAATATGCTTTCTAACAGCCTGAGGCCCAAAGCTGCATTCCTGTGGCAGAGGGCCCTTAGGCACATACCTGGTGGCCTGCACCTAGTTCGAGTTATGTCAGAGCTTCTGAGAAAGCTTGATGGACAAGCCGTACCTGATGGAATGACTCCGGTTTGCAGAGACACACGTAATACAAATGAAACCAGTGAGAATGCATGGGTGGCGAGACACAGGTTGAGTCGGGGAGGGCCGCTATAAACTTTGGGGGTAGAGACAAGAATCAGGTAATGATATGACTGAGCCACACAGGTGTGAGCCACAAGACCAACTTTTCTTTTCTTTTTTTTAATTACTCATTTTATTCGGGGCTTTTACAGCTTTTATAACAATCCGTACATCCATTGTATCAAACACATTTGTATATATGTTGCCATCATCATTTTTTCAGTTTCATTCCAGTTTATTGCTTTTGTATGCACATACCTGTTTACTTGTCATATAAAAATTGAGAAGTGATCTCAATTGGAGTTATTGAGTTAGAAGGTTCTATTTTCCCCCCAAAATGAAAGTTGCCTCACCCCAGTACACATGAAATTGTAAATAGTAGAGATTTTAGAAAGTGGAAGCCAACCCAAGATCTGAATGGCATAAAAGAAACCCCATTTAAAAAAAAGAAAGAAACCCCATTTTAAAGCTCCATGTCTCTAATCCGTATCTATCTTTTATAAATAATTTTATTGGGGGCTCTTACAGCCCTTATAGCAATCCATAAATCCATATGTCAAGCACATTTGTACATATGTTGACATCATCCTTGTGTTAGTCCAGGTAGACTAGAGAAACAATAATGTGCTAGTCCAGGTAGACTAGAGAAACAAATTCATAGATACACATATGTGTATAGGAAAGAGCTTTATATATAAAGAGTAATTGTATATTAAGAAAACATTCCAGCCCCGTCCAGATCAAGTCCATAGTCCGATATTAGCTGACATGTCCGACACCAATCTATAAATTCCTCTTCAGACTCATGAAACACATGCAATGACACCAAATGCAGGAGGATCACAGGCCAGTGGGTGGGAAGCCTTGTGGATCCAGTGGCAGTGGAAACATCTCAGCGCTGGCAGGGGTCTCCATGACAAATCCAGCTCAAGGCACTAGCGTAGCTCCATGTGTCTTGCCAGCTGCAAAGTCTCCGAGGGAGTGAGCAGAGAGAGTGTCTCTTGCTGCCAAGGGGCAATACTGGAGTTCCCAGAATCCTCAGGGGAAGGCCATGACCACACAAAGGCCTCATTGGCTATGACCTGGTTGACAGGCTAGACTCCATCCATTCACTCTTAATCCTCTTCAATTGACCAGCAATTATATAACTACCACAATCCTTTTCAAAACATTTTCTTTCTACTTGAGCCCTTGGTATCAGCTCCTCAATTTTCCTCCTCCATCCCCCACCCTCATGAACGCTTGATAAATTATAAATTATTATTTTCATATCTTACACCGTTCACTATCTCCTTTCACCCGTTTCTGTTGTTCATCTCCGTGTGTGTGTGTGTGTGTGTGTGTGTGTGTGTGTTATACATTGATCATTGCGATCAGTTCCCGGGCAACTTTTATTTTTCAATAGTGGGATTGACATGTAATTCACACCTGACCTCTTTTTATGGTGCTCACTGTGCCTCATCAGTCATGGTACAACAGGTGCTGCACTTCCTTTCCTGCCCCTCATGACGGTCAGCAGTTTGGCCAGTGGCCATGTATGGTCCAACCACATGGTGAGCACTAATTCTCTCTCTTTTTCTTTTCTTTTTTTGGGCACTAATTCTCTTGTCTTGATCAAATGCCCAGGGGAAACTGATGACCCAAAGCAGATGTTCCTGGCGCCCTGTGGCCTCCACGTCACCCAGCGCATCTCTGACTTCTGTAGCAGGTAGTTCCAGGGAGCTGGGGCGGCCTTCCTCAAAGCCTCCCCCATGACTCCAGGACACAGTTGACATGCCCACAGGAGCAGACTGGCTGTTAGTAGTTGGCGTGGTGGAGGGGAGGTTACGGGACCCAGTAGCAACTCTCAATCTGGAGAAAATGGGAGTCCACCCAGTCCCCTGTCTTGCAGAGGTAATCATGGGGTGCGTTCGAAATGGTTCTTCCACAGGCTCCCAGCAGAATCGCGCCCTTATTTCCACAGCGCTAACCAACTCAATTCCGCCGCATAGCGACCCTGCAGGACGGAGTGGAACTGCCTCATGGTGCTTCTTACGAGGCTGTAGATCTTTACGGAAGCAGACGGCCTCATCTGTCTTCTCAGGAGCTGCCAGTGAACATCCTGTTAGCAGCTGCTCATCGTTTAATTCCCTGTGCCACCTGAGCGCCTTCTCCTGCATTACTAGCACTCGAATCCTGTCTCCTGCTATTCTTTGGGGTAATCAAAGCGACAATAGTCTTGTATGTAGAAGTGACTTGCCGCCTGAGAGGGATATCTGCACTGCAGAGAGCCGTCGATCATAGAGTTACAGGCCGTCGTAACTACAAACGAAATGGCCAGGTGGAGGGCGGAGGGGGAGAAGCGGGCCAAGGACTGAATTGTGAAAGACCCCAAACCATCGCAGGCCTCTTTTCTCAGGTGACGTCTGTCTTTGCATCAGCTGGATCTTTCGTTCCGCTCTGAAGCCCCCTTTTGCGGATTACACCTGCGCCTGGGGGCGCGGCGACGCTCCCAGGCACCTGTTCGCTGAAAGACAGCCATGCACCTCCCCGAGTCCCCGCCCCGAGGCAGGAGGGGCGGGGCTATGACGGAGCCACGCCCTTCTCCGCGACTGCGCCGGGCGCGCTCGCCCGGCGTAAAGACGTCAGCGCGCGCTGCGCGTCGCGCCGGGGGAGGAATGGGAACCGCGGGCCGACGGGCGCTAAGGTCTCCTGTAACTGGGGCTGGGCGGAGACGGGTCAGGGAGCCTCCCCGAGTGCGGGGTCGCGGCCGAGACCCAGAGCAGGAGCCCTAGAGACTCTCAGTCGTCGCGTCCCTTCCGACCAGCCCCCGCTGGGCGTGGCGATGGAGTTTCCGGACCTCGGGGCTCACTGTTCGGAGCCGAGCTGTCAGCGCTTGGGTGAGGGGCGGAGCGCGCGGGGCAGCCCCCCCGGGGCTGGAACTGCAGGTGGGCGCTGGGCTGGCCGGGCTGGAGAAGGGCGGTGCCTCAGGAGGCGTGTCTAAGGAGACTGTTGTTGGTTACCAGAAAGAGTGGGGCTGTCAGGAAGGCGGCTCCTTTCTGGGAGTGAGAAGCTAGTGATGGGAAAGGACCTGAGGTCCTGCTGCATCTGGAACCGGCCCCACTCCTTGCAGACTTCCTGCCACTCAAATGCGACGCCTGCTCTGGCATCTTCTGCGCAGACCATGTGGCCTACGCCCAGCATCACTGTGGATCTGCTTACCAAAAGGTGAGGGGGGAGGGCCGAGGGCCCCCAGGGGGAGGGACTATGCATGCATGCAGCCCTCTTCCCCTACCTCTGCCTCCCTTGTCTTCCGCAGACATGCTGGGGAATCTTGTGCTTTTCTGTGTGCTTGTGGGGGGCCACCCCATTCAGGATCCCAGTGACTGTCGAGACCAGAGGTGGGGTTGGGCTGGAAGTGGCCCCACGCAGATCTGTCCCCTTGCCCTAGGATATCCAGGTGCCGGTTTGCCCACTGTGTAACGTGCCTGTGCCGGTGGCCAGAGGGGAGCCCCCGGACCGCGCTGTGGGGGAGCACATTGACAGAGACTGTCGCTCGGACCCTGCACAGCAGAAACGGAAGGTAAGCGGGGCGGAGGGGGGGGGTGAGGGGCGGGGCAGCAACTACCAGACCAGGCTGGACTTGGAGATCCTGGGAATTCGGGTGGGGCCAGAGGTCAGAGGCTTAGTCCAAACAAACCTTCACCCTCCACTTCAGATCTTCACCAATAAGTGCGAACGCTCTGGCTGCCGGCAACGGGAGATGATGAAATTGACCTGTGATCGCTGTGGGCGGAACTTCTGCATCAAGCACCGTCACCCACTAGACCATGATTGCTCTGGGGAGGGGCACCCGACCAGCCGGGCAGGGTAACGCCCCTATCCTTTCGAGTTAGGGCCAGTTCTGAGGCAGTGCTCAGAATGTTCCCCCAGACCCTTTGGAGGAATTCCCCTCGATGGGTGACCGGGACAAGCCGGCGAGCATATTCTGTGTAGAAGCATACTCAGGACTACTCTTCCCTGCCTGTAGACTCGCTGCCATCTCCAGGGCACGGGGCCTGGCTTCCTCTTCCAGCACCGTCTCCTCCCCGAGACAGACCGTGGCTTCAACTACCTCTCCCAGCAGGTAGGCCTTCCCGGTTTCACCTCTCCTCTTCAAATCCTTCACACCCTGACCACCCCTCTTCTTGGGTATCTGCCATAGGACCCCGGCCCCGTCTCCATCCCCATCCCGGACAGCCCCACCAGTGATTGCTTTGCAGAATGGCTTGGTAAGTTGGGGAGCAGTGGGAGGGGCAGCCACAAACCCAGAGTAAAGTCAGTGGCAATGGGTCATCTTTTTTGCCTTGCAGAGTGAGGATGAGGCTCTGCAACGTGCCCTGGAACTGTCACTGGCAGAGACCAAGCCCCCGGTGCCTAGGTACTTCCTTCTGGGGGAAAGGGGAACACAGGAGGGAGGGAGGCCAGATCACTCATCACTGGGACTGGATACAGAGTAAGGAACTTGGTCTCAAACTTAAGCATATTCACTATGTAACAAACAGTTGGTAAGCGGTTTAACCTCTTAGGGCCTTGATATCCTGCACAAAGTGGGTAGTACTGATACTGATAGCCGACCTGGTCAGGGAACTCTGAAGGCTTGAGACAGTAACCAGAAGTGCTCAGCCAGGAGACAACTGCCTAGCACAGACCAGCTGGTCACGTTTTTAGTGCTTAATGACATCCTCTCAGTTCTCAGGAGGAAGAAGACTTGGCATTAGCCCAGGCACTCTCAGCCAGTGAGGCAGAATACCAGCAGCAGCAGGTAAGGTGAAGGGAGCATGGACCGTGGGTCCTGCCTGCTGGGAGGGATCAGAATCCTTTCTTACATGACACTTCTTGCCAGTGGGGGAGTTTGGGATGGTAGCTGGACTGTTGTTTTCAGTCTGACCCCAGACCACGCTGAGCTGCTCGGAAGGGCTACCCCGCATGTCCTTGACACTGTGCCCTGTCTCCCTCCCTTTCCCTCTCCTTGCTCCAGGCCCAGAGCCGCAGCTCGAAGCCATCCACCTGCAGCCTGTGCTAGGGCTCTGGGCTTGGGGAGGGCAGCGCCACTGAGGACTGGGGCCTCACACCTCTGGGGTCCACAGGGAGAGCAGGCTCGGAGCAGCCCAGCGTGGAAAGAGAGGCAGGAGTGAGGAGGCCACCGCCAGAAGCCCTGGGAGCAGCGGCAGCCAGAGGAGCTGAGCTGGCAGAGGCCCCGGGGGGCTGTCTGGGAGAGAGGGCTGGCCCTTGGTAGATACTGGCTAGGTCCCCCTTTACCTTCTTCATCATGTCTTCCCCCTTACACCAGGGCTTCCCTCTCCCCCATGTCGGGGGCAGGGAGAACCTGGACTGAATAAAGGATGGACAGCTTCCAGGTGTGTGTGTTTCTCTCCCTCGCCTGCTGGAGCCAAGGTTGGTTAAGAATGTTCTCCTGGCTACAGGCTGGAAGCCCACTGCCACACAGCCACCTTGATCACAGTACAGTCAACACTTTTATTGATGCAGAAGGCTTTTTCCCAGAAGCCCCCTTTCCCACCCTCTAGTGTGCACATGCCCCAGGTCCAGGGAGAAGGGCGTTATGGGAGTCCCCTCCAAGCTAGCCTTTGGCAGGAAAGTGGCTGCAACTCTGTCACTGTGCCACGACCTGGGGCTTGCTGTCTTCTGAGATGTCTTCCTGTCCCTGCTGCTGCAGCTGCCACATGTCAGCATATACCCCACCTCGGGACAACAGAGCCTCGTGCCTGGAGCAGGGAAGAAACGGGAAGTTGAATACCTCAGTTTTACCCTACGGGGCATCACTACCAGCCAAGAGGGAGGCCAGGGGCCATGGCTCCGGTGCTCTGCGCTGCCTTCCCTTACCGGCCCCTCTCCACAACACAGCCATCCTTGATGACGAGGATCTGGTCAGCACTGACCACCGTTGAGAGTCTGAGAAGGGAGACACCAGCCAGTTACCCACACCGGACGCCACCAAAAGCAGGGTCACCCTGCCAGCCCCTGCGCCGAGGCCTGCCCTACCTGTGTGCCACAACGATGGTGGTGCGGTTGGCACACACTTTGGCCAGAGATGCCTGGATGGCCCTCTCGTTGGGCGTGTCCAGCGCTGACGTTGCCTGGAGAGAGGGCCTGGGTTAAGGTGCTCCTGCGCCCAGGTCATGGAACCCGGGGCTCTGGAGTGGGGTGCGGGCCCTCACCTCGTCCAGCAGGATGATGTCTGGAGCCTTGAGGATGGTGCGAGCGATGGCCACACGCTGCTTCTCCCCGCCGCTCAGCTTCAGGCCCCGCTCACCCACCTGAGTCTCGTACCCTGTGGATATGCCCCACCTCCCTCAAGTCACACGTAATACACCTGGGTTTCTGCGACCGGATGAACACGGAAGGGAGGGGACAGAGGTCAGGGGGATGACCACCAGGCCTACGATGAGGGAGAAGTGGGTGGGGTGGGGGTGCGGAACTCTGAGGGTGGGACCCTCACCTTCTGGGAAAGCCAGAATGGAGTCGTGGATGCCTGCAGCCTGAGCAGCGGCCTCCACGTCATCGTCCCCGGCGGTGACACGGCCGTAGCGGATGTTATTAGCAATGGTGTCATTGAAGAGGACGGTATCCTGGGGCACGACTCCAATGTGAGACCGAAGGGAGAGCTGGGTCACCTGGAATCAAAAGACCAGAGGCTCAGCCCCAAGCCTAAGAGGCAGGGTGGGCTGGTGGCAGGCACGTGGCTGAGGGGCCTGCCATTGGCACGCAACCCCAGCGGTGTGGGCCAACTGCTCAGCTGCCTTGTGCAGGTTCCCCATCCCAGGGAAGGAGGCCTGCCCTCTCCTCACCTGGCTGGGCCTTTGGGGAGGACCTCTGCCGGGCAGGGCGGCAGGCAGACCTTTTGCTGCCTGGCATCTTCTACTTCCCCTGGATCCCGGCTCTGGTCATCCACCTCCGAGCGCCTGGCTCCCCCCACACCCTCACCTGGGAGATGTCCTGCCCATCGATTCGGATGCAGCCAGAGCTGATGTCATAGAAGCGGAACAGCAGGCGCAGGATTGTGCTCTTCCCGGCTCCGGACGGGCCCACCTGGCACATGGGGACAGTAACGGCACATAAGTCCATTTGTGTTTCAGGTGCCCTCCCCGAGAGGCCTCCCGTGTCCACGGAGGCTGCCTCGTCATTCTTGTCGCGTCAGCCTGGGCTCCCTCTGACTGCCCGGCAGGGGCCTGGGGGAAGCTGGAGGGGTGTGGGCCAAGTGGCTGGGGGTCCTCTCACCAGGGCCAGGGTCTGTCCAGGCATCACAGTGAAGGACACGTCCTGTAGGGTCTCCCGCCTAGAGGGCAGGGAAAGCAGGGTCAGCAGGCGTACCACATGCCCCGTGCCCCCTGTCCACCCCCTCCCTACCCCCACCCTGCCAGCAGCCTCTCGCCAGGCCAGGTGGGCTGCAGACCAGGGGGCAGAGCAGGAAAGCAGAAGCGGGTCAGGGCAGAGGAAGGAGGAAGAGGCTCGTCACCCATCGGCATAGCTGAAGTGCACGTTCTCAAATTCGATGCGGCCCCGGTGAAAGCGGAGGGGCCCTGCTCCGGGATGGTCCTTCACCTGGGAGGGGGCCCCCAAGGTGTGTCAGCGTTACAGGCCTGGCATTCTCTGGACCCACCTCCCCCCACCAATCCACCCCGAGCCCTGCACCTCTCGCTCCACACCTCGGTCTCCTCCTTCAGCAGGTCAAACATGTTCTCCATGTCAATAAAATTGGTCTGGATCATCCTGTGAGGAGAAGGGTGCTGGTGGGGCCCCTCTGGGGAGCCAGGAAGCACCAGCACCCCCCCCCCCCGGGGAATGCAGGGCCAGGGGTCGCTTACCTGTAGTAGGTGCCAAACCAGTTGAGGGGCATGTATAGCTGGATAATGTAGGTGCCAAAGAGCACGAAGTCCCCGACCTGTGGGACCCAGAGAGAGGACTGTGTCACTCCCCACTGCAACTACTCAGCCTTGGCCTGCTACTTCCCTGCCCCGGGCACAGTCCCCAGCATCTCCCCCAGCCTCACCTGCAGCTTCTGCTCACTGACGAAGTACGCACAGAGCAGCGAGCCAGCCAGCAGCCCAAGTCCAATCACCAGGTTCTGGGTCTGATTCAGTAACACCAGCGAGGCACTCGACTTCCATTCCAAGTCCTGCGGGAGGGACGGATGGACAGACGGCACAGACGCACTGATGCCACCAAGTCCCAATCAGGCGGCCCCAATCCAAACTGGGCTCTCTCCCTAGCCCTCCTTGCTCTCGGCACCCTCACCTGGTATTTGATGATGGCCTCTCGGTAGCGTTCCACTTCGTAGCCCTCTGCGTTGTAATACTTCACCTGATGAGGGAGACCCGCTGCACTTCAGCATGGGTACAGCCCTCCCACCCAAGCCCCACCTGCTGGAGTCCCGAGATCAACTCCCATGTCACCCTCCCCCGAGGCCAGGCTCCCCAGCCACACTCCTCCAAAGTCTCCCTGCCTCCCACCAGGGCTTCCCAGGCCTCTCTTACCGTCTCAAAGTTGAGCAGCGAGTCCACGGCCCGCGCCCGCGTGGCATTCTCCTGGGTGTTCATCGCGCGGCGGAACTTGGTTCTCCACTCAGTGACAAGGATGGTCAGGGCTGGGGCACGAGAGGAGGGGCGGGGTCAGGGCCTCACTCCCCCTGGTAGCTGGGACCCAGTGGGGGTGGGCTACCTGCCACATCCACCTGAAACCTATGCTGGTGCCGATCCCCAAGGGAGAACGGGAGAGCTTTGAGCTCCCGAGGCAAACAGCGAGTCCCTAGGCATCTGCAGCCTGCACGAAAAGGCTCCCCTGGGAACATGGTTCCCACGTCACATGAACAAGGTTCCTTCCTGAACTAGTGTGCCCTGGCCAGGTTGCATCTCCCAGGCCTCTGTCCAAGGCCCTCCCCCCAGGGCCTCCTCAGGAAGGGGGCCTGTGGGTCCTGCCCGGGAGGCCCCCCAGAACCCTGGGAGGCGGTGTGGCCGAGCAGCGCTCACTGAGGTACAGGGTCATGCACAGGAACACGATGAGGCCAAACCAGGCGTTGAAGAACATGCTGAAGTAGACGATGCCAATGATGACGTCAGCCAGCGTGGGGAGGATGTTGAACACCAGGTAGCTGGGAGGGGGAGGCAAGTGACAGAGAGGGGGTGTCAGCAGGCTCAGTGCAGCGACTGCTTTGCCACGCTGACAGAGTGCACCCCCTCTTCATGCCCACGGCTGAGGTTCTCTGCATCCACTGCAAGGAATGGGTCTTCACGGGGGGTGGGGGGGTGGGGGGGTTGGGACGCACTCTGTGGCGGTTTGGGCATTAAGTCCGCCAGCTGCACCTTGTGATACAAACAAAGAACACAACCCCGAAGCCTCCCGACACCAGCGTGTGAGGAAAAGTTGCTGCGTGGCTGCAGGTAGCTGTCTGTGTCTGACAAGCAGCACCCAGCCCGCGGCCTTGGCACCTGAGCAGCCCTGTGACGCTGGACGTGCCCCGGTCAACGACTCGCAGCACCTCGCCGGTGCGCCGTCCCAGGTGCCAGCGGAGGGAGAGCTCATGCAGGTGCGAGAAGAGGCGCAGTTCGACGCGGCGAGAGGTGAACTGCTGCACGCGGATCCACAGGAAGGTGCGCAGGTTGCTCACAAAACCTGTGGGGAGCCCGGGGTACGGCATCAGGGAGAAAGGGGTTTGAGGGCATGGGGGTGGGGTGTGCATTGGATAACAGCCCCCCCCCAAGGTGAGTGCAGAGCTCTCCTACCTGTGCTGCCGGTGCCACCCCCCTGCAAGAACTTCAGGAAGACATAGGTGCTCACAGTCCAGGCCAGGGAGTTCCAAGGTGCCTTCTCAGTCAGCAAGTTCACTGGGGAGAAATCCAGTCAGTGCCCACTCCCCCTCTCTGGCACCCAGTGCTCGTTTCGGCAAACCACCTCAGGTACCTTCCATAGCTTCTTCCTTACCCCTCAGCTCAGTACCACCCTCCCTAGGTCAGGGCCACCCCACCCACCATGCCCCCAAAGAACCAGTGTGCTCTGCTGGCCCCCCCTTCCCGTGACCTCCCCCTCACCAATGTCCCTATAGAAGATGGGGACCAGCACGTTCAGCCCCCGGTCCAGGCCCATGAGCCCCAGGCAGATGAGCACGACCAGCTGCAGTGCTGGACTCCCCCGAGGCCACAGGTAGCCACTCAGTAGGCGGAGCTTTCGGCCAAAGTCTTTCCAGGTAGACCGCTGTGCCCCCTCTGCTGATGGAACCTAGGAAGGTGAAACACAGAGGTGGGGGTGGTGCGGGGGCGCTCAGAGACCAAAGGTGTACACTAAACCCAAAACCCAAACTCACTGCCATTGAGTAGGTGCTGACTCGCAGCAACCCCAGCGGGTTTCTCAGACTGTAGTTGTTTATGGGAGTAGAGAGCCCAGTCTTTCTCCTAAGACGCTGCTGGTGGCTTTGAACTGCCAACCAAGCAGATTGCAGCCCAACATAAGGTGTATACTAGTCCAAAATTTAAACAAGGCAAAGCATTTTTGAGAACAGTGGGTGGGACTTATTGTTTCTGTTGGGTTTCCCAGTTTGTGAAGCACAAAAGGAGTGGATGCCTAGACAGTAGCTGATGCAGTAGTTTATAGGGGAAATGGAGTCAGGGGCAGGGGACAGAGAGGGTGAGAGGATCTGGGGAACAAACGATGAACGCAGGAGTGGGGAGGGAGCACTTGAACTGATTGTGATGATATATGTGCAACTCTTAATTTTTTTAAAAACATTTTATTAGGGGTTCATACAACTGTTATCGCAATCCATACACACATCAATTGTGTAAAGCGCATTTGTACATCATTCTCAAAACATTTTCTCTCCACTTAAACCCCCGACATTAGGTCCTCATTTTTCCCCTCCCTCCCCGGCAACTCTTAATTTTTTTAGTTGTGTACAACTCTTCTTAAAAGCTATTTAACCATGGAAGTATATGCTATGCGAATACTGTATCAAGAAAACTACTAAAACAAAAAAGAAACCAAACTTGACCAGTGGTCACCATGGGTGAAGGAGAAAGAATTGTGGCTTAGGGGGGCACTGAGTTTATGTTAATGGTGGTGAAATGATTTGGAAAAGGTTATCAATAATGGCTGTACAACATGAAGAGTACAAACAATGGCACTGAATTATACATATAGACCCTGTGGAATTGGGAGAATGTTTTGTTGTGTCTATTTCTGCCACAATTAGAAAACAAATACATGAGTAGCAATGAGTATAAGGAAATAGGAAACGTTCTAGAACTGACTGTGGTGGTAATTGTACAACTCGTCTTGCTATGACTGAACAGAATGACAGGTAGTGAAGTGCTGCTAAAAAACTGTTAAAAAAAGAAGATGACTGTGTGGGATTGTGTTTCCAGGTGCCCCAGACTCGCCCATGATGCTGGAGGGGGTCAGAGGCCAGCAGGGCCCTCCCTGAGATTTGGGAATGAATGAGTTTGCATTGAGGGGAGGAGTAGTGGTACCCAATGCCATACCCAAATCCAATGCCACAGAGTCAATGCTGGCTCTTAGTGACCCTACTGGACGGGGAGAACGGCCCTGCAGGGTTTCCAAGGTTGCAGGTCTTGACGGAAGCAAACTGCTCTAGGAGTGCAGAGAAGGAAACAAAGCTTGGTCCCAGGGTTTGTAAATGGAGATGTACCTGGCTCCTCTGAATATCGCCATCCTCTCCGTTGACCTGCAAGGTGTAGGACTGGGGACGAAGTCCAGGAGCCCAGAGCCCCAGGACAAACAGCCCTCCAGAGACCACATAGCGCAGTACCCACAGGCTAAACTGGACCTACAGGGAAAGAGGAGTGGAGTGGGGAGGACCTAAGTAGGGGCAAACGGTCTATTGCACAACTACTTTCTTCTTTTTAAATCGTATTACTACTTATCACAGGGCTGGGGCCTGGTATGGGAGACCTGCCCAGGTCCTCCCCAGCGGCCCGGTGCCTCACAGGCCTTTGAAAAAGAAATAAAGCAAAAGCCACGGTGACTCAGCACAGACACACCCCACCAGCTGGCTATCAGCACGGCCAACTGCCGGCCCCTCCCCTTTCTCACCGTGGAGGCAGCTTGTAACCTGGAGCCAGCGAGGCTGGACATGCTGGGGCCGTCATGTCCTTCCTCCCAAACCCCGCCCACCAGGCCCCTCACCTGCTGGCCCAAGTCAGTCCTCGCCCACCACCACCGCCGGCTGTTCCAGGACACCAAGGCCAAGTTCTCGGCTGCAAACGCCACGGTCCAGAGGAGCAGGAGCCCTGGGCTGTGCCTGAGCTTCATCCAGACGCCCATCGCCAGCCTCTGCCGGGCCTGGCTGCGTTCCACGATAAGCAGCCCCAGGCCACAGGCGCCGGCCAGAGTCCCGAATACACAGGCCAGCAGTAGATAGCCTGGCAGAGGGGCTCCTCGGGCAGTGCCCACTCGGCCGACTAGTCCGGCCAGGGGCAGCACCACCTGAAGAGTGGCCAGAAAGAGCTGCAGCCCGTAGGGAGCGACACTAGGGCCGGCTCTCCAGGACAGCGCATCGGCGCCGGCGGGCCGCTCCTGGCGCTTGCAGGGAAAGGCCAGCACCAAGGCCAGAGCTCCCAGGGCCATCAGTGTAGAGGGCACGAGCGTGAAGAAGAAGCAGGGGCTCAGGCCGCCCTGCGCCCAGACAGGGCCCGCCGGCCCTTCGGCCTCGCAGTAGTTGCCCACAGTCACCATGGTAATACGTGGCCGCAGGGCCTCCAGGACGGGAGAACGGGACTGGCCGCTCTGGGAGGGGTGTGGGTGCCGGAGTGTCTCTGGTCATGGAGCCACTGAGCTCCTGGCCGCGGAGTTGCGGGGAGGGACGCACGTGGACCCAGCCACACCGTCCACTTGCTTCGCGCAGGCGCCGCCGACACGCACTCACGCAAGGCACGTTCGCTGGCGGCCCGGGACCCTCGAGTCCGGCGTTCGCCGACTGGAACGCTGGGCGTCTGACTCACTCCGCCCCCGGGACCAGGGGCCCGCCCACCAGCCTCTATACCAGGGTCTCTATTGGCCGGGTGGCTCCGGAGGGGCGGGGAAGCGACTGCACACTAGGGAGATCAAATAGGCTGAGTCGGCTTGGTCACATGTGCAGAGCGGGAAATCTGACCGCACGTCCGGCTGGCGACCTTGACTTTCACGGAATCGCGCTCGGGAAGCGGCCCTCCTGCCAGCTATGGTTATCCGAACCAGGTATCCCTAGGTACCTGGGAGCTCCCACGTGCGCCAAACCCTCCAGTTCCCAGAACAAGCCACGCCCTGGTCAAAGTCCCTTCTTTATTAAGGGTTATCAGGCTGTACACGGTCCCCACCCCAATCTAAGGTAAATTCCAGCAGCTGGGCAGCTCGTTCATTCGGTGGTCCAGAGCTGATGGATGGGTGGGACGGAGTCCCAGCATGCAATGTGGCAGGCCAAAGCCTAAGGTGAGGTCCTCAGTCACCCTCCACCCACCTCTAGGGGCAGGACAAAGGCCAGAGCTCTCTTGCTGGGGGGAAAGGAGTCCAGAGGCCCTCCAGCCCAGACCTTGCAGTGCGAAGGGGGTACAATAAGCAGCAAAGGGGCCCAAGAAAGCCTCAGACTCCCAGGGACCCATCCTGAATGTGGGAGGGGGTGGCAAAATTTCCACCCCGCTTCTGTGATTTAGAAAACTTCCCTCTTAGTGTCAAAAAGTAGTGTGAGGGGAGCTGGGAGCTCAGGCATCCAGCCCAAGCAAAGCTAACAGAAGGGGAGCAAGCAGAGAGAAGGGGCAGGGGAGGTGAACGGGCTGCACCTGGGAGTGCACAGAGGTGAGGAGGTAAGGGCCACAGCCTGAGCTGCTGTCTACACAGGGTGGCAGGGCGCTGGGGTCCAGGGCCCAGGCCCACACCCCACTCCAGTTGGCACAGGCTCCCCCTGCTTGGCAGCTTCTGTGGTGGGCAGCCCTCTGGAGAACTGCAGGGGTGGATGCAAAGGTGGCAGTACAGGGGCTGGGCCTGGGACCAGTTTCTAGCACCACTCTCTGAGCCAAGGAGGGGCGGGGGCAGAGGCTAGAGTCCTGTGTGCCCCTAGTTCCCAGGCCCTGCATTCTTCTGGGGCCGTGGCCAGCCAGTGTGAGCACCTCCCTTGGCCAGACACGGACACACAAAAACCACACACGTGGGGCCAGGCGACGCTCGGAGGAGCCCTCCCACGGCCAGCAGATGGGATGGCAGGGCAACAGTGGCCTCCATCCTGGGGTGTAGGGGCCCTCCTCAGTCTTGTCTACACCTGTGAAGAGAGAAGGGCTGGTCGTGGCCCTGTCTTCCACTGCCTGCTGCCCCACTCAGAGGCTTGAAGACAAGAGGTTAGGAGAGTGTGAGTGTGGGGAGAAGAGGGGAGGCGCACACTTTGGGAAGGGCTGGAGCCCTTCTTCCTCCGTCTGAGAAGGGAAGCATCAGCCTCTGCCTGGTGGTCACTGGGCCGAGCAGCTCTTACCTTGTGCACCTGAGGGGGCAGCTCATCCTCGGAGCCCTCCTCAGGTACAGGCTCCGGATGTCTAGAGGCGGGCTGCCCGTCCTCAGCCCATCCTCCCAGAGGCAGCCGGGAGAAATGAGAGGGAGCACGGGGCACCGTGCCGGGATCTAGAGGGGCAAGCAAGCAGCCTCTCAGAACACGCACCTGACACTTGGTAGTAAGGGAAGGGTGTCAGGGGTGCTGGGGGCAGTGGGAGGGACTGGCCTTCCTGGGCCTGCTCCCTCTACCCACCTATCCCTAGAGAGGTCATGAAGGGCTGCTCCGCCCTGCCTGCAGACACTCTCCCTCCATAGCCCACTGGATACCTGTGATGCCCCCGTAGCGTCTCTGGAAGCCCCCCTGCAGGGCGGTGGTCTCGGGCGCTCCAGGTCGGGGTGCGGCACAGGGATAGCTGGCAGAACGAGGGATGGGTTGGGGGGCCTGGGCGCTCTCTCCCCCCTCTTCGGGGGCGCTCTCCCCACTCTCGTCACTCTCCCGGCGGTGCCACACGTGCCGCTCCGGCTCTGCCTGGGCCTGCTGCTTGTGGAGCTGGAGAAGGCGAAGTGGCTGGCTCTCACCGGGAGCGGCTGCCCACCCTGGGGCCTGTCCACTCACACCATCACCAGGCTCCCAGCCCAAGGCACCTCTCAGGGCAATGTCCTCAGCAGGTCCTCTAGTGACCTGGCCTTTTGACCAAGGACACACTGCCTAGGGTCTCAGGGACAAGCTCTCTTCTAGGTGTGGGGACCCAGCAGGAAACAGACCAGATCCAGCTCCCCAGGGCACTTGGGCACTGGCAGTGGCAGCAAGGATAGGGAGACAAAACCATGGAGTAAGAGGCAGGTTGGCTAGTGCGGGTAGTTTCGGGCTACAAAGGAGGGCAGCTTTAGCTCAGGGTGACGGAATGGGAGCCATGGGAAACTGCCAAAGGAGAAGGAAAGTGGCCTGGCTCTTAGGCAGGGGAAGCCGCCAGAATGTGGAGACTCCAGGAGAGAGAAAGCTAAGAAGGCATCTCTCCTTCAGGAGGGTCCCTGTGGGAAAGGAGGCTACACTGCAGCTAAGGAGACCATAATCCAGGTAAGAAGGCCACATTGCAGGTAAGTGGCAGAGAAGGGTCTTCCTTCCTCACCCTGCCAACCCTCTCAGCTATTCCCACTCTCAACCCTGCTCCTCCCGCCCACTCGCCTGGTGCATGTAGAGGGCGTGCAGGCTCATCTCAGTGGACGCATACTCGGACAGCACCAGGCTCTGCAGCTGCCCTTCCCACACGCTGCTCCCGGAGCTGGCCGTCCTGGCATCCACCCTGTCCCTCCCGGAGGACAGAGACACATGTCAGCACTTGAGACCCATACAAGCCACCCAGGACCCCAGCCACGCCTCCCTTCTTGGCCCCACCTCTACTCACCCAGAGCCTGTCATGGTGCTGGGCATGCGGCCCAGGGGCCCCTGGCCAGGCTGCAGAGGGGAGAAGGAGCGCAGGGCAGAGGCCACTTCAGCCCTGTGCCGAGAGGCCTGCAAGTCTCGGGGCAGGGGCAGGCCCCGGCAGGACGAGCCGGCCACCACATTGGCAATGAGGCTCAGCGGCTGTGGAAGAAAGGGGCCGGCAGACTCCTCAGAATGAGAGCAGGGCCCCTGGCTTCCTGGGCACATGGAGGCACAGGCAGGGCAGTTCCAGGTGGCTTTCCACAGCCCCTCCGTGTGTGTGCCCGCCGCGGCACGCCCAGGCCCAAGGAACGCACCTCCGACTCCGACTGCAGGGACTGGATGGACGTGAAGAGGGCGTTCTCCGGGAGCAGGCCCCCTTGGGCAAGGCTAGCGGCTGCTCCATCCCGCTGCACCTGCTCCTTGAGGAAGCCCAGGAAGGCTGTGCTCTCCCTCGGGGGCTGCCAGCCGGGGTTGGTGATGGCAAAGTGCATGAGGGACAGCTCTGTCTTCCCGTCCTCGGCTTGCTGGTACACCGACGCCTCCGTCTGCCTGCCGGACAGCCACTGTGCAGGGAGGCCGCAGTGAGGGGCGGGGCTTGGGTCTCCTGCACGTGTGTGGGGAGCAGGGCTGGGAGGGTGGAGGGGTAGGCTTGCCCCTGGAGGGCAGAGACTGCAGTGCCCAGGCCCACCCCAGGAGTGGCCATGTGTATAGCTTGGGTTGAAGAATGGCTGCAGGGTGCAAGGGGAGGGCTGCCGTCACATGCTTGTTCTTGCTGTGGTTTGTAGGCTCAGCGGGCCTGGCACAGGCCCGCCCCTGGCCCCGGAGCCCCTCCTTGCCTGGCAGCCCCTCCTGCGCTTCCAGAGACCCTCCTTGCCCAGTACCTGGGGATGGCCGTGCTGGCGCACATCCATCTGAGCAAAGGAGCAGGTGTCGCCAACACCGACGACCTCCACGGTGAAGTTACGGAAGAAGTCTATAATCTCCAGCGCCCGGGGGCGGAGGCAGAAGATGAGGATGAGGGGGGTGACGATGGGGCTCAGCAGTTCCTCTAAAATGAACACCTGGGAAGGAGGAGGCCAAGGTCGCACTCAAAGAGCAGCTGAGCTATTCTGCCCGCCTGCCGGCCGGCCAGCCAACCCCACCACGCTCTCAGCCAGCGGCGAGCAGGCCCTAACTCCAGCTCCACTCACTGCCTTGTACTGGAAGAGCTGGGCAAACTCGTCCCGGGTCTGCGAGCGGTGGGCATTACCCTGCCAGTGGTCAGGCATGTAGTGGATGTGAGCGAGAATCACACGCAGCAGCTGTTCGGGGCAGAACACCAGGTGCTGGTCTGGGATGAAGGACCTGGGGGGTGGGGGTGGGGGCTGGTGAGGCGGGAGCCTTGCCTGGGCACCCTGCTCCCACCTGCGTGTTGCCCGGGCCCACCTGCACACAGTCACGGTGAGCCCGAGGAGTGTGACGGTGGTGAGGACGTGCTCCACGGCCAGTACATCCTCGTCGTAGATGGTCAGGGCCAGGAGCACGGCCAGGATGGAGCCGGCGAAGAAGGCGCCGTTCTTGGCCAGCAAGGTCAGCAGCGGGGACAGGAAGCAGTTCATGTACTTGGAGGCAGGCTTGTAGCCGCGGTTGAGGCGGGACTGCAGCTCGTGCTCTAGCTCGTTGAAGTGGCGGAGGTAGCAGCGGCCATAGAGCGACCAGCAGCGCGCGCCCAGGGCGCCGGGCTCCCGCTTCAGCACCTCGGCATAGCTGAAGAAGGCGTAGAGGATCTGCCAGATGAGGATGAGCGGGCACAGCAGGAAGTTGGCGACGCCGATCCACAGGATGCGGTTGCTGAGCCGGTGGGCCAGCTCCAGCCGCTGCCCGCCCCTCTTGTACTCAGCCTTGAGGCTCCACTCGTTGAGAAACAGAGAGCCGGGGCCCCAGAAGAGGATCAGCTCGAAGTTGTACTTGAGGCCCCGGGTGAAGAAGACCACCTCCCCGAGGCCGGGCAGGCGGAAGCGCAGGGGCAGGAGGGACTTGTTGACCAGCGCCACCATGTAGTTCTGGAAGCGCAGGATGCGGTGGTAGATGTCCAGCTCGGTTAGCTCACGCTTGTGGATGCAGATCTGGTGCTCCTTCTGGGTCTGCACGATTCGGGCCTGCACTTCCTGCCACGTGCAGTACGGGAGGGCTGCCTGCGGGGGGCGGGGGTGGGGGACAAGGGGCGGAGGGTGGGGTGGCTGTGGCCCAGGAAAGAGGCGAAGCTCGGAGGTGAGTGTTTAGCTGAGTGGGGTCCAGGCAAATGCACCCTGATCTGCCAACCAAGGAGGAGAGCCCTGGATGGCCCATCCCAAGCGGCCAAAGCCGCCCTGGCCCCTAACCCCCCGGGCTGCGCAGCCTTACCATGGGGATGCGCAGCGCGTGTAGGTAGAAGGAGTGAATCTCCCAGTAGCAGCAGATGTTGTAGATGAACTTGATGAGTCGGTGGACCCAGAAGACACCTGCAATCACCAGGATGGTGATGAGGGAGCCATTTTCCTGAATCCTGGCGGGAGGGGAAAAAAGGGGTGGAGGATGAGCTTCAAAGTGTCCTGGCAGACAGGCCAGCTGGCCAGAAGGCTGAGCGTGAGCCTGTGCTGGCCTGAGTCACTGCCTCCTCCTCCGTCTCTCTGCCCCCTGTTAGAGCCCCGCCTGCAACCTCTGATGCCCCTGGGCCAGCAGCTCTTACCTGGCACTGCAGACTTGGGCAGGCAAAAAGGCATCTGGCAGAGTGACCTTGACAGGTTCGGTAGGGTGAAGACTGTGGTTCACCATTTTGTTGGCAAATAGGATGTCGTAGTCCACGCAGCTGACCAGGAAGGTGGTGAAGGCAACCACAAAGAGGAACTGCCTGGGGGGTGGGGGAGAGGAAGCTCAAGCCAGGGGTCAGGGAGGTGCCAGTGTAGAACGTGGGACAGAGAGCTGGAAGCTGCGCACTCAGATTGGAGATGGGAAGAGCTGGAAAACCCCCGAGTCCCCCTTCCACCCAGTCACGGGGGGACCTTCTCTTCCTCTTAACCTCAGACCAAACAGAGTCAGCCGGCTTTCCACACCTCCTGGTCATTCTCTGCTACTGCCCACTGGACTCTTCCAAAGGCGTTAGGGCTGATTTCCTTTGGAGGTGGTCCTAACAAGTTCTTTAGGGACTTGTCCTCTTTCTTACTGAGGCAAGGCTACCTGACTCCTGTCCCTTTGCCCACAACACATCCTCTCCCTCATCTTAAGAGCACGCGCAGGCTCTCTGCCTAGCAGCAGGCTGAAGATGTGACTGAGGTAGAAGAGAAGGATTCTTCTCCACGGAGTGGCTGGCATCTCTGTGCCCTCTGCTTGGATCAGGCTCATTCCAGAGGCTCTGATGGCTAGGTCCAAGTCTGAGCTCTCTTTATGGAAGAGGTAGGATGCAGACAGCTCTCCTGATAGGGCAGGCAGGAGGTGAGCCTGTGAATTCTGGTGTCACTTCTCGATGCTGAACTATGACAGCCTGCAGGGTTTCAAGGGTGGGCCTGAGTGTCATTGGCAGCTTGGGCTGGGGGAGTGCACAGAAAGGAAGGAGAGAGAGAGAGTCCCTACTAGCCCACCCATCTCTTACACTTACATGAGCTCGAAGATCTCCCCGATGAGCATACAGGTGAAGCCATTCTTCTGGTGTAGATTATAAACGTGGACCCGTTAAGAAAGAGTGGCCGGTAGAGACGGCAGGTGGCACACCCCCGAGCTCAAGCCCCTGCGCTCTGACTTTCCAGCTGTGGGACTCTGGCCTTGTCACTCAACCTCTAAGCGTCCTGCCCCCACAGTGGTATATTAGGAATCACATGGCCTGCCTTGTAGGCTGACTAGGTCTGAAGAGGCACAGGGAGAATATTGGTCGTGGAGCCAGCATAGGCTGAGGCCAACCCCTGGATTCTTGGGAGCAGTATCTCCCGTCAAAAGGGAGAGCTCCCTGGTGAAGTGCCATCCAGTTAGTTCTGGTCTATAGAGAGTGGCCTTAAGCACAACAGAAGGAAACACTGCCCGGTCCTGCCCCATCCTCACAATGTTCCTCTGCCTGAGCCCATTGTTAATAGCCACTGTTTCAATCTATCTCACTAAGGGCCTCTACTTTACCAAGCATGACATGCCTCTCCAGTGACTGGCCTCTCCTGACAACATGGCCAAAGAATATAAGACGAGGTCTTGCCATCCTTGCCTCCAAGGACCACTGTGGCCATACTTCTTCCGAGAGAAGAAGCACTCTGGGCCCCGTTGGAGGTGACTTACAACTGAACACCAAGAAGTACAAGGCCCACCCACAGTGTTCAGGAAACCCAAGGCCGCACACCTTTCGTCCACGATTTGTTTTCCCCAGCCTCTCAGGCTTCTAGGGATTAGAGCCTGGGATCCAGCCCAGGAAAGAGTCTAAAGATCCCAGAGTCCCGACACAGACAGCAAAGGATATTCGAGAGAAGAAAAGGTCAAGGTTTTCGATGTGATGCCAAGGTGCTGTGGGAAGAGGGAAGGGATGTCAGAGCCCTGAAGGAACATGAGCCCCTGTGTCCTCAGTGCCCGCCCCTGCCTCCCCCACCAGTCCCAGCTGTGGCTGTCATGTCCCAGCACTCACACTTGCTCCCCTCAGGGACATGCACCAACAGGTCCTCCTCCCCTGGGGGTGAATCACTGTAGGAGGCCTCTAGGCGTTGGTATTCAGTGTCAAACTGCGCCATCACCGCCCCCTGTCCACCTTATCCACCTGTAAGTGAGGAGGTAGGAGACCGCCTGGTTCAGGCCCAGAGGCTGCCGGCCTAGGGGCAGGAGTTCGAAGGAATCTGTGGTCTTGGTCACCACCACCAGCCTCCCAGGAAGGCACTGAGCAAGGCCTAGGCCCAGAGCCTTTAGACCTGGGGCTGGCAAACTTTTGAGATGGAAGAGCCAATCCTGTCCCTCACAGCAATTTAAAAATCATTTGAGAGTCATGATATAGTTTTAAAAACACATGAAATCACCACTATCTGAATATTTGTTAAGTGAAACTGATAGTCTTCTTTTCATTTTCAATTTGACTCAGAGACACATGTATGTACCCAGAGGGCTGCATACCTATGACTCAAGAGCTGCTGTTGACTGAGCCCAGCTTTCAATGAAAAGTCCAGGTGGGCTGCTGCCTTGCTGGCTTGAGGCCAGACTCTGCCCTTAGGAGGGGTGGTTTTCACCTTCTATTCAATGGAGAAGAGGCTGCCCTTTGGAACCCAGGTCTCCCACTGGACTAGCAGTTTGAACCCCCCACACAAAACAAAACACCCCCAAGAGTCAATTCTGACTCACAGCAACCCCGTAAGACAGGGTGCTGCCCCGGTGGGTTTCCGAGGCTGTGAAACTTTACAGAAGCAGAAAGCCTCATATTTCTCCCGAGAAGCAGCTGTTGGGTTCAATCTGCTGACCTGGTGGTAAGCAGCTCAATGCATAATCCACCGCACCACCAGGTTGCCTTAGCAGATGGAAGCTTTTTGTAAACAAAGTTTGAAGATAAGCACATGGCCCTACCAGCTCCATGGACAGTGTCGGCTCCACTCCAGCCCTGGATGCCCGGCACTGCAGCTGCTGGAGGAGAAGGTGTCAGGTCCCATAGAATAGGGAGAGAAGGGAACTGACCTGACCCCCCCCACCCCACCCCCTCATTAAGAGGAGGACAGCACATGGTAGGGCTATCACCCAGTGGGGTAGAGGTGCTGGCCCAGCTCTGGGCTATGCATATTGTCCTCTGGCTATATGGCACATTCAGCTTGGGTGTCCCAAGAAGTGCCTTACTGACCTGCTGGACACTGGGTCAGGGCAGGTCTGATCATCCGACGGTCCTCTTTGGCCCCTCCTCAGCTTCAGAAATTAGACAATTCTCTTAGTGCCCAGTAGAAAGCCCAAAGCCCCAAGTCCAAGCAAAGCCTTTTCTAAAGCTCTTTCCCGTCAACCCTTCCCGGCTTCCCCAGCACAGCAGGCAGGGATGGCTGGGGCTGGTGAATTCTCCCGGGGCCAGCGAGGCGCCCAGATCCTGGGTCCCTCCAGCGCCAGTCGGAATCACAGGGGTCCACTCCCGTCAGTGCAACCCTTAGTGGAGTTCCGCCCAGCTCCCTCGTAGGGGTTCTCTGGGTTAGAGAGAGCCACGAGCCCAGAGAAGCGGATCAAGCCCGCGGGGGCTCCCCACTTACCGGGTCGGTGTGGATCCCGGGCCCATGTAGCCTCGGCTGGGCCTGGGATCGAGGGCTCCTGCGGAGGTGGAAGGTGTCCAGCCAGGCCTACAGCCGATACCCCGGATGGGCAGGGGTGCCTTCGCACAGCCAGCCGCCACGACCTGCGCCCCAGGGTCGTCTGGCCCCGGATCCAGGGCTCGGCTCCCAACAGCGGACAACCTCCCGCGCGGCCCCGCCGCCCGCGCGCGCCCCCGCCCGCGCGCCCCCGCTACCAAAACATTCTGACTGCGCGGCCCCGCCCCGCCCGCCGGCGGCGCCCCTTCCCCGTTACCAGCCGCGTGGCCCTTTATGGCTCCGTGGACAGCCCTCGTCCGGCCCCGGCCAGGAGCCCGGGATTCCAGTGAGCGGCCTAGTGTTTCACCTTAGGAACGGTGACCCTGGTGATTCCAAGGGTTTGTTTGCTGGGCTCTACTCAGCCCGGCCTTGAGCGCTAGGCCCGGAGCCTGCCAGTCACTGTCACCCGCAGCTAGGCTGGCCAATAAGCCGAGGGGGTGGAGATGTGACGGACCACTCTCGGCTCTGGGGGCGGGACTCCGGGCCGGAGGCGGGTCTTACGCAGTCGAAGAGCCAATGCTGGGCTCCGTGCGGGGCTGGGCTCCTTGCGGGCGGCGTTGTTTGTCCCCTTCGCCGCTCCGTAGCGCCGGGACTGTTGGGTTGCGGCAATCCGGTCTGCGAGCCGCGAGTTGGTGGCGATGCCGCTCGGCTCCCCGGGATATCTGGGGCCGCTCCCCCCCGGGGCGACGAGTCTGTGCAGTTCAGTAGATGCCAGAGCTCGTCGCTCGGGAAGCGAGCTCGCCCGCGGCTAGGACACGTCGGAGATTTGAATTGGACTCCGGTATCTGGTATCTGGGTGATCCCTCCTTTCACTTTCGTGTGTGTGGTCCGAGGCTGGAGGTTGGAAAACGGGATCTGGGTCCTGTTTGTGACCCGGGATGTTACTGCTGAGTACTGCGCAGCCCGGGGCAGAGCAAGCCTGGCAGACGAGAGATCTGACTGGATCTCGCTGGTTCCATTTCCTCTAGCTGCTTCTGTGTAATTTCTGGCTGGACATGTCGCCCGCGCCAGCTGCCACCGCGGCTCCTGCCTCAGTCTCCCTGTTTGACCTCAACGCCGAGGCTATGATCCTTCAGGGCCTGAGCCTGATGAGCCACGCGCCCGGGGATGCGCTGGCCCAGCGTCAGCGTACTCATGTCCAGGTAACTCGCAGGTGTGGGGCAGGCCCACGAGGAACAAGACAGGACTATACGGAGCGTGATGCTTCTTCCCAGGAGCTTGACCCAATAGGTATCCGCTCAGGAGTCCACGTGGACTTACTTCTGCTAGATACAATTGCACTCTCTAGAGCCCGTGGTGGCGCAGTGGATTGATTTCACATTGGACCCCTCACCGCAGGGTTAGTAGTTGAAGCTACTAGCCACTCCCGCGGAAGAAACAGGCTTCCTACTTACCACGGAAACCTATGGGGGCATTTCTGTTCCATAGGGTCGCTAAGAGTCACCATCGACTCCAGGCAGTGAACTTGGTTTCAGCCAATCTCAGGGCGTTTGACTGAATTTTCTCTAAACAAGTCTCTTGCATTTTATTTCCCTTCAGTAAAACCAACACTTTCAAATATGTACGCATTTGGTTTTACACAGTTTTTATTCCTTATACTTTTCATTAAATAAGCTCCATGCTGTGATTGGAAATAGAAGTTAAAAATCTGATATTTGGAAAGAATTTTAACTGTATCCAAAGCTATTTTCTGCAGAATTCCTCTACTAAATAATCCCTTTGGTTCATTTAAAGTTGATGTTTGGTTCAGCTCATGTATATCTTTTTCAGAAGCATATTTTTTAATAGGTGGTTGCTTCTCCATGTATCATGACTGCTAGAGTGCAGACTTCAGGTCATGCTTCCTTGTGCATTCTCCTCTCTTTCATACTGTGGATTCTACCTTTAACTACCCTCCCCATTCTCAGGTTGAGGGGAGAGAGCAAGTCCTGAAAGAAAATGACTCATCCCAGGACCCTCCCGATAACTCAGAGAAGTTATATTGTTCCACCTGTAACCAGACCTTCCCGAATCACCAGGAGCAGGTATAAGGCTAGAGGGCTGGGCTAGAACCTGAAAGTATAGGTTTAGTGGTGGGTGAGAAGTCGGTGCTTGTCTTAAGTTAATGAAGGTCTATGTTTTGACTAAGGAATCCAGTGTTACTTGCATTATATCCTGGAGCTCCAGGCCTAGTCTTGGCTGCCACATTTTCCCCTTCTGCCTCCTACAGAGAGAACATTATAAGCTTGACTGGCATCGGTTTAACTTAAAGCAACGTCTTAGGGACAAGCCTATGGTGTCTGCCCAGGACTTTGAAAAGCAGAGCTCTGCAGGTGGTGCCTGGTGGGAAACCTGAATGGGAGCGGGACTCGGGACAGAGAAAGGCTAGGGTAAGGGCTCAGGGAAAGTCCGGATGGGGGTTTCAAGCAGCGTATCGTGTTGTCCACAGGGGATCTTTCCAGCATCTCGGGATCAGAAGACTCAGACTCAGACAGTGAGGAGGACATGCAGATACTGGATGAGGAGAAAGCTGAATTTGAGAAGAAGCCCAGCCGACCATGGGGCTTCCACCCGCATCGAGTTCTCTTTCAAAATGCCCAGGGCCAGTTCCTCTCTGCCTACCGCTGTGTCCTAGGCCCCCGCCAGGCAAGTGACAGGCTGTGTGGCCAACCCCAGCCTTTTCTGTGACCTGCCAGGATTACCCTCTCACCCTTCTGTTTCTCACTTCTTCCCTTTTCCTGACTGGGAGTAGGTAGCACCCTCGACAGCATGGTCTTGGGTTCAACTGACCTTAATCTACGAAGGATGTTTAGGAGACTTGGAAGAGGCCTAGCCTTTCTGGAGCCAAATGTGGGGGGACTAGGTTGTTGCCAGGGCTCGGGCAGACAGCAGCTCTCTCTAGTGAGGCAACAGTTTCCGTCTGGGCCAGTCAAGAGGTTTGGTTGCTGTGCAATAGGCGTGCTACCCTCCTTTTCTAAGAGGGCGACTTGATTTCTAAGGTTCTGTGGTGGTCCTGATTCACAGTACACATTCAGGTTGATCTCGATTTTGCTTTGTCGTCGGTCCAGTCAGGACTGAACCGAGAAGAAGCTGTCCAAAGCCCAACTTCCAGTAGATGATACAGGTAGGATGTTGGTGCCTCTCCTCTATCATCAGGTGCCCCCAGCAGACACAGAACCGTTGCTCCAGAACCTGCTCAGTGGAGGTCCCAGATCCTGTGTGATGCTCATGGCAGCAGCGGGGCACTTTGCTGGTGCCGTTTTCCAAGGGTGAGAGGCTGCTGCCTGGGGAGGATGGAGCGGATCCTTGCTAGCGGGGCGCGCCCGTGGTCTCTGGTACTGAATCTGTGCTGTCCACAGAAGCGAAGTGGTGGCACACAAAACCTTCCACCGCTACACAGTGCGGGCCAAGCAGGGCACAGCCCAGGGGGTTCGGGATGCCCGGGGTGGGGCTTCTCGCTCTGCCGGAGCCAGCCTGAGGCACTACAATGAAGCCACACTGTACAAGGTGAGCGGAACCTCCCAGGTCCCCTGGTCCCTTGAGGCACACCCCCTTTCCCCCTTGCTAGTCGGCTCAGCCAATGTGATGGTAGCGGCTTTTCCCTCCAGCCTCTGCCACTTCTGGGTGAACAAGGGTAGAATGGGAACCCAGGGGCCTCAGTACTCTCTCCTCCACTTCATTGTCCCCTACCTCCACAACCTCTGGTGGTTTCTCTTGGTTGCAGATTTTAAAATCGCAAGTAGACACGTGCAGGGCTGAGTTACTCTCTCCCCTAGGAGGTGCGTGAGCTGCTGACAGGGCCAGGCTGGGCTAAGGCGCTGGCGACAGCTGGGACAATTCTGCTACGGGCCCCCCGCTCTGGCCGATCCTTATTCTTCGGAGGCCGTGGGCCACCCCTGCAACGGGGGGATCCTCGACTTTGGGATATCCCTCTGGCCACCCGCAGACCCACTTTCCAAGAACTGCAGCGTGTGCTGTATAAGCTGACCACTCTGCATGTCCACGGTGAGCCTCCGAGCCAGGTCTCCAGGCAAGCCCACGCCTCGGGGTCCACTGTGCAAGCCAGCTCCACTGGGCTGGGCTGTCCTGTCAGCTCCCCTGAAGAATGATCTTTTATGGCAGGGGAGGACCCCCGGGAAGCGGCCCGATGGGATTCACTTCAAACGCAACGGAAGCCCACGAAAGGGGAGAGGAAGAAGGTTCTTGAAGAAGAAAGAAGAAAGGCCCACAGGGAGGAAAACGCACAGGGGCACAAGACAGACTCCCCCGAGCAAGGTTTGGGCATCATTGTCAAATCCCTGTATGGATGGCAAATTCACTCCCCGTTTCCCTCCACTCCTACGCACATAAGTATGCCCACCCCATTGTCTGTCTGCTTAAAATGGGGAGTAACATCGCCATCACTGAGTAGTATCCGGTGAGTGTCTTAACTGATTGCCTCTTTGGTACACTGATGTGTCCCTATTCCGTAGAGTGATCTTGACACCGCGTGGAGGCAGGAACCTCGTGACTGTTGCATTTGGCTGGTTGGCCTGCTGCGGTGGTGGTGGGCTAAGAGCTGCTGCCCTGGCTGCAGACCCAAGGCCTGCAGTGAGGGGCCTGCCCGGCTCCGTGGTCTGCCCTCTGGGCTGGACACCTCATTTCCGTATCGGCGGACACAGCTCGTGGTGTACTACTTTACCTTCTCCCTCGCCCACCGCCATCGAGTCCATGTCGACGACTGATAGTCCACCCTATAGGGCAGGGTAGAACTCCCCTGTGAGTTTCTGAGACTGGAACTTTTTACCGGAGTAGAAAGCCCCTTCTCTCTCCCTTGGAAAAGCTGATGGTTTTGAACTGCTGACTTTATGGTTACCAGCCCAAGGCATAACCGCTACACCACCAGTGCTCCTTTACCTTGGGGGGCCCAAAACACACTGAACTTCACTTCAGGATGGGCTCAATGATCTCTCTCTATATATACATGTATATACATATATATATATGTATGTATATATATATATACACATACATGTATATGTATACATACATACATATATATATTCCTAGAGCATCTGTGCTTGTCCACATCCTTCCACCCTCTGCTGACCCTTCAGATGGGGCTCACACGGCGTATTTTCCCCTAGGGTCAGGGGCCGAGGAAGAGGACAGCTTCCAGGTAGAGCTGGAACTAGCGGAGGTGACGCTGGGGACCCTGGATCTTCGTGAGTTTGAAGTGTTACCCAAGCGGAACCGGAAAAAAAAGAAGAAAAAGGAGAGAAGCCGGGACCTGGAGGCTACTGCCCCTCAGACTCTCCCCCGGCAACCTCAAGAAGCCATGGCAGATCCGGCCTCTGAAGGGCCTTCACTGGCGGAGGCCACGGCCCCTGGTCAGCCCGAGCTCTGGGGTGTGCTGCTCGCTGCCTGCCGGGCCGGAGATGTTGGACAGCTGGAGCTCCACCTAGCTGCCAGCCCCCAGGACCCTGGAGTTGTGGCTCTACTCAGTGCCCCCTTGGGCACGGATGGCTCTACACTCCTGCATGCAGCTGCTGCAGCCGGAAGAGGTTCAGTGGTTCGCCTGCTGCTGGAGGCAGGTGCTGACCCCACTGTGCAGTAAGTGAGCCCCCTGGAGCCATTTAGGTTCTAGCAGATGGTCTGGAGGCTGAACTTGGCATTGGCTACTTGGTAGTATCCCCTTGGTTTGCTTGGGTGTTGTTGGGAAAGGCAGGAGGCAAGCTGAACCTACTTGAGGTACACATGTCACACTTAGGGACTTACGGACCCGGCCACCATACACAGTTGCAGCTGACAAATCAGCACGCAATGAGTTCCGAAGGTTCATGGAGAAGAATCCCGATGCCCACGATTACCACAAGGCTCAGGTCAGCTGGCAGAGGACAGAGCAGCAGGCTGGGAAGGCGGCAGAGCGGGCGGCTAGACCCTCTCTTGTAGTGTCACCAAGGCCAGCTCGTGTGGCTCTTCCTTAACACCTCCCTGGAACCGTCTAGGTGCCAGGGCCACTGACATCCGAGATGGAGGCACGGCAGGCCACCCGGAAAAGGGCTCAGCAGGCAGCCCGGCGGCTCCGGGACCAACAGCAGCGGAAGCAGCGGGAGCAGGAGAAACAGGAGCAGGAAGAGCAGCAGAGGTTTGCTGCCCTCAGCGACCGAGAGAAGGTGAGGCCCGGGTCCTCTTCCACAGCAAGACCTCCTCCGAGTCCCCTGGGCAGCTGTCACATCACAGGTGCCTTTATCCACATCCGGGCCCTTGTCCTTAACCCACCTTCTCTTCTCCTCAGAGAGCCCTTGCTGCAGAGCGCCGACTAGCTGCCCAGTTGGGAGCCCCTAGCTCTCAGCCCCCCGGCCCTGTGGTCATCGATGCCCGGTATGTGTTGGGGTGGGTGGGGCGGGTAGGTGTGAGGGGGCAGGCAATATAAGGTTGTAGCGACCATTTGGGGCAAGTGGAAGGAGTGCCTATGCAGTAGGTATCAGAAGAGTCGTGAAGGGAATTTGAGGCCTCCTGGGAACCTTTAGAGTGCAAACAGGAACGGCTGGGGAAAGGGCGAGGAAGGCTTGGATTGCAAAGATCTTGGGTGCCTGTCCAGCCTTCTTCTTCTTTTTCAGACGCTGCTGGAGTTGTGGGGCCTCCCTCCAAGGCCTGATTCCCTTTCACTACCTTGACTTCTCTTTCTGCTCCACACGCTGCCTCCAGGAGCATCGCTTGCGGGCTGGGAAACATGCTTCCTGATCTCTCACAGTGCCTCCTGGGCCCTCCTCTAGGCCCCCGCCAAGCTGCATTCACACCAGCTCTAGGTTTCTTCTTCCCCACAAGGCCAGAGAGGGTTGGGAAGTATAGGGGGAGGGAGACTCGGGAACCAGGGCAAAGACGGGGCCACAGAGGTGTGTGGAGCTGGTACTGTCTCGGGAACTTTAATCACAATAAAGTTTGGCAAGGAAACTGCACTGGTACTTGCAGACAGGCCTGCAGTTCCTTGTCACCATGGCCAGCACCAACGGATCCTGACCACGCCACATCCCAGGCCCATGGGTGGCCTTTCTTTCAGTGCCCACTTAACTCCATCTCCCCATTACCTAAGAAATAATTGAAGAATGTCCTGTACAAGGTGCTGTTGAGGATGGGGTTGTCCAGAAACTGGACTTGGGGCTTGGGAGGCCCGTTTTCTAGCTCCAGTACTGTTATTTTGTTGGTTTCCTTAGGAAACAGCAGGGGTTTGGGCACGTAGAGGGTCTGTTGTGGCCCTCGCTTTGTCCAGTACCGGCCCAAGTTAAACCCATTGATCCAGACTTGGCCCTAGGGAGAGGGAGGGAAAAGAAATAATCCGCCCTCAGGGAGTAAAACTGACCCCTTTGGGGTTTCCATCAGAGAACATGTCTGCCCCTCCATCCAGCCAGGCCTTTCCTCTTTTGCCACTACACCACCACCACCACCACCCCGTCACCCACAGCATGGTACCTTGGACCATCCTGGCATATACAGAAATGTGTCCCCAGTTGTGCCTAAAATTTGAAACGATGCAGAGTAGAAGGCGGGGCCGGAGGAAGTTGTAAGTTGTGTCTTTTTTGGCGACTGGATAGGAAACCACCACTTGACAAGGTTATCAATTTTCAGGGGGAATATGAGCCACTGGGTAAGGACAGTGTGCCCCAGCAGTGGTGGCTCTAACAGGCCCTGTGGGAGAAGGTAAAGGGACAGTCAACAGCACTAACCTTGGGGCCCATACCAGGTCCCTAAGCCAAGCACAGGGATGGAGCGGGTGGCCACGACCAGATCCCTGCAAGGCAGTGTCTGCCAGACCCCGCAGGACATGGCTCTGGTCATCCACCCCCTTGGCCCCATCCTTCCAAGAGGGATGGTCAATTGGGGTGTTGGGGGAAGGGTAGGCAGGGCTAGCTCACCTTGAAGTCACTGGTGTTAGAACCAAAACTGAGCCTCCCCATATTTTCCACCAAGATGTCCAGTTTGTCCCCCATTTTCCCCACCAAAAAAAGTCTGCTTTTAATGTTTCGTTCCAAAACACCCTGGAACACCTGTGGATAAGAGGGGCTGTGTGAGGGGGAGGACAACGCCTAGCTCCTGGCTGCTGCTCAGGAAACCTGTCTCATCAGTTACCCGTCGACTCTGGAACTCTGCCCTTGGGCTGGCTTTCTCACGAACCCCCCGCAAATGTGAGCGGGTAGAAAAGAGTAGGTATGGGGAACTTAAAGCTGAAGAGTGGTGGGGGAGTGGAGGCTCAGGCGGTAGTGTGGATTGGTTTCTCACCCCATTCACCATCACATAGGCACGGTCGTGAAGCCCGTTTTTGGGCATCCACAGGGACGCTGGCTCTGTGTAAGTGTTGACCAGATGGGTCCGGTACAACATGAAGCCATGGCCCTGGGGATGGGAGAATCGAGTGCTTAGGACAAACTGAAAATTGGCAAAGGCTA